CAGCCTGCAGCTTGCTCCTGCGGGGCAGCAGGAGTTTGGCAGGGGCGTAGGAGGGGGCTGCACTTAACCTACAACCGCCGATTAATTATATTCATGAATTAATTGCGAAGCAGGAAGGATTACACCAGCCCTCGTGCCCCTGTCCTCTAAAGCCCCAGTGAGTCAGATGATGGGGAAATTTCCTTAAAAAAAAAAAAAAAAAAAAAAAAAGAAAAAGAGAGAAAATATGGTGGTTATTGTTGTGCTCTTCTAAGATAAATAAATAAGCCCGTGCAAGCCCCGGGACAAGCAGGGCCTGTTTCCAGGAATCGCAGCGCTTCTGCGCGTTCCCGGCCCTTGGGGCATGGGGGGAGTTTGTGATTTTTTTTTTTTATGTAACAGCAGCGAGTCAAGTAGGCAGCGGAGGTGCGGAGTTTGGGGGATTTTTTCCCCCCCTCCCCTTTAGTTTCCCCTGCCATGTTTGCTTGGCTTCATGCACGGCTGCTCCTCCGGCCGGAGGAGGGAGCGGGGCTGGTTTCTCCCTGCTGCGGGTGCTGGTGGCGGCTGAGCCTGCGCTTACCTGCTGCCGGGGGATCCGGCGGGGCAACTGTGCCGGGGCCGGTGGGTGTTTGGGAACTGGGCTGCTGGGGATGAGAAACCACCAGATTTAGGCTCTAGGGGTGGGTGCCGGTGGCCGCGGCGGGCGGCTGCGAGTGGCACGTGCTGACCCCGCGATGCGTGGAGGGGAGCCGGCGTGTTTTCCGAGGGATGCTGGCCTTGCCTCCCGAGGGATGCTGGCTTTGCCTCCCGCCCTTATCAGTAGGAAACCGCTCCGGGGTGGGGCTGGCGGCAACAGGGCGACTCCAGCATCCGGGTGTTTGGGATGGAGGTTGTGATCCCAGCCAGGTCTTTTATTTCTTTTTCCACGCTCCGCGGCGCCGAGTTTACAGCACGTGTGTTCCTGGTCCCCCCCTGCCCTGCCACCGCCTTTGCTGTGACGAGGTTTCCCCGTTTGCCGGTGTTCGCGATGCTGTGGGGAAAGGGAAGAGCCCTGTGTGCGCAGCAGCAAAGTGATGAATCATCAGAGCAGGGGGGACGTTTCCAGTGCTGAGGGTGGGGTGGCCCTGGAGCCTGAGCAGCACAGCCCTGCGGGGAGAGAAACAGCCGCTGCAGGGAAATGGGGCTGGGGGGGCCGTGCTGGGGGGCCCCCTCCCAAAAGCACACGTACTGGGGTGAGAAATGCCCTCCTGTCTCCCTGCGGCCCTCCCCGTGCCGCGGGGTGCTGGGGGGTGCGGGGGTACTGATGTTGCTTTGGCACGGGGGGCTCTCAGCCCTGGATCGCCGTTTCTCCCCCCTTTCCTGGGGCGTGCAGGTGGATGGCGGGGAGGGACGGAGCTCTCCCGGCGCTGGGCATGGCACGTCCCCATCACCTCTGGGTGCTGTCCCTGGGGACAGCTGCAGTTTGTGGTTTGGTTTTTGGGGGGGGGACCTCGAGCTGCACCCACTGCAAGGGAGCCATTTCGTAACTGCCCTGCGTGGGGTTGTCCCGCGTGCCGGTCAAAGAGGAACCGGGCTGGGGGGAAGCAACTTGCCAGGCTCAACTTGACGCAGCAGGGTCCCTGGCGCGGGCGCTGCAGCCTGGCAGTGGCACCGCGTCGCTGGCACGTCCCCGGGGCAGCATCGTGGCATCCCGTGGCCACAGCGCGCACCGGTGTTGACCCGTGGCAGCTGTTTTGTGACGGCTTCCCCGACCCTCTCTTCTCTCTTTGCTGTGGGAGATGTACAGGGCGCTTCGCGGCTGCAGGAGCCAGTGCTGGGTGTTTTACAGCCCCGTAAAAGAGCAGAGGCTGCCTGGAGGTGCGACGTGTGCCTGCCACCGCGCTGTGCCATGCCGACTCCAGCACTATGGGCATCCCACGGTGGCCTTTCTGCGGTGGCATCACCTCCGCGAGCCCGGGGGATGCAGCAGTTTGGGCTTTGCCGAGCCGTGCGGTGCCGGTGTGGAGATGGCCGGGGTGCATCCCCCCCGCAGCCGGTGATTCCCGGGGTGAGCCGCGGTCGTTGTCGCCCTCGCAGCTGAAGCCAGGGAGGGCGCTGGTGGTGTAACGCTTGGAGGGACGAAAAGGACGATCTCTTCTTGAACACGCAGACAGGAAATATCTGCTCATCTTTCCCCCCCTCCCCGTATGTCCAGAAAGAGCCCTGATGGTTCCCCCTGCCTCATTGCAAGGCCGCGCACCGCTGCGGGGTTTGTGCCAGGCTCTTGGGTTTCGGTCAGAGCGGGTTTTCCGTGTGGGTTTGCATGCACGCAGGGTCCCACGACATGGTCAGCCCCAGGATGCAGGAGGCCAAGCCCTGCGCTCCAGGATGAGCTCCGGTTCCTGCTCCTTGCCTTCAGGGGAGACCCACGCGTTGGCTGGAGGCGGAGGCAGCGCATTGCTGAGAAAACCAGGAATGACGGGCGTGATCCCGGCACCCATGCCGGCCCTGCTCCTCTCCAGCTGATGCTGACAGCCGTCTTTAAAGAAGCCGCTCCTTCTCCAAACATCTTCCCCCTTGCTTTCTGCTGAACAAACAGGCA